TGCAGGGTCTCTGATAAGAGTTGCCCAGGAGGACTTCACCTTCCAGAGACCTCTGGGGATCCAAAGCAGGTCAGGCCCCCAGCACTGACGTGTCCCAGTGGGAAGTGTGCCAAGGCTGGTGGCTCAGGCGGTGTCCGGGCTCAGGGTGCCGGCGGCCTGGAGCAGCGGCGTGGTCTCTGAGAAGGGGGGTGGGTGGTTCTGCATGGTGGGGTGGGCTGGGCTCTTCTGGGCAGTGGTTCTCTGGAGAGGAGAGGACAGTGGTTACAGCCATGCCCTTGGTGGTGGCACTGTGCTCAGACCTTGTCATGCACAGGCATCACCTCATCCCCACTTGGGGGACACGTCCCTCAAGCCTCTTGAGCTCTCCTGTTGCAAAGAACCCCTTTCTGATGACTTCTTAAATGGAAGAGTTTTTGCATCTCCTCTCCTAACAAAATAAGTGATTTCCATTCCTGCCAATGAGCACTTGTAACACCCCCAAACACCCAGCCTGAAGAGCTGTGTCAACAAGTGGAGGAGTTACAGGAGAAAGCCAGCAGGCTGCACAGCATCCAGGATGAAAGGGAGATGGACGGGATCTTCTTAGGGACACAACAGCTTGAAGACCCCCAGACCCCAGCTGCAGTAGAGACACAGGCAGCACCCATCCCCACTATAATGGTAAATGCAACCTCTGGAAGAGGTGAAGGATGGAAGCTGCTGCCTTCTGGCACCAGGAGGAAGACTCCTGCTCCACCTAAAGTCTTACAACTACCAAATAGGTTTACTACCCTCATAGCTGAAGGGGAGCCGGATACACTTTCAAGCAAAGCATATGGGCCTCCTGATCCTAAACTATGCAAGACACCCCAGAAGGAAGCAGCAAGTGACAGCAGTGGGTCACTCCCTGCTGCTGAGGACAGAGGCACCCATCTGCCCACCTGACCTGTCATCTAGAGACATTTGCTGGTTGCTGGGGACCTGGATCCAGGGTGTTGTGGAAGGGCTGTGAGGTTTATCCAACCCTATGACTATTACCCACTGTTTCTTCTGTGTGGGCACCAATGATACCACCAAGACCACCTGGAAAGTATCAAAGGTGACTAGAGAGTTCAGGTGGGGGAAGACAGAGCAAAAAAGATGCTTGATACTCAAGGATCACCTCCTCTAAGCACAAGAATGATCACCCCAACAAGCACCCCAAGTCAGGCAAAAATGCCAGCAAGCCTGTGTGGATCAATAAGGAGCTCCCAGCCAAACTCAGCAAGGAAGCACACAGAAGAAGGAAGCAGGGACAGGTAACCTAGCAGGAGCACAAAGATACTCTCCCAGCACACAGGGATGAAAATAGAAAAGCCAAAGCCCAAGCAGAATTTAATCTAGACAGGGATGTCAAGAGACAAGAAGGGCCTCTGCAAGTACAGAGGTGACCAAAGGAAGATCAGAGGACATGTGGGCCTGTTGCTGTGTGAGGCAGGGGACCCCAGAGACCAGGGGAAAGTCTGGAGCAAGGAAATAATAACCTTGGTGAAAAGCAATGAGGTCAGAGAATATTTAAGCAACCTAGACATAAATGCATGGATCCTGATGGGATGCACCCATGAGTGCTGAGGGACCTGGCTAATACCGCAGCAAGGGCACTCCCCAGAATCTTTGAACAATTCTGGCAATTGGGAGAGGTGCCCAAAGACTGGAGGAAAGCAACTGTCACTCCTATCTTGAAGAAATTAAAGAAGAAAGACCTGGGAAACTACAGCCCAGTCAGCCTCCCTTCAATCCTCAGGGAAGTGATGGAGCAGCTAATAATAGGAACCATTTCCAGGTACATGAAGGACAAGAAAGTCATCAGCAGTCAGCATGGCTCCACCAAGAGGAGGTCATGCCTGACCAATCTGATAAACCTCTATGATAAAATTACTGGCTTGGTAGCTGACAGGAGAGCACTGGATATCATCTACCTGGACTTCAGCAAGGCTTTTGACATCATCTCCCATAAGAACCTTGTAGAGAAGCTATGAAGTCTGGGCTGCATGAGCAGACAGTGAAGTGGACTGAAAACTGGCAACCAACCAGGTGCAGAGGATCATGAGAAGTGGCATGAAGTCAAGTTGGAGGCCAGTAACCAGCAGTGTACTCCAGATGTCAATATTGGGTCCAATCCTGTTTAACATCTTTATTAATGATCTGCAAGTTTGCTGACAACACAAAACTGTGGAGTGGCTGGTACACCAGAAAATCTCACTGCCCTCCAGTGGGACCTCAACAGGCTGAAGAAATAGGCTGGCATGAACCTCATGAGGTTCAATGAGATGTACATCTTGTAGCTGGGGAAGAACAATCCCATGCACCAGTACATGCCACCCAACTCTTAAGCAGCTTGGCAGGAAAGAACCTGAGGATCTTAGTGGACACCAAACTGAACATGAGTGAGCAGCCTGACCATGTAGCAAAGGCAGCCAACTGTCCCCTCTGTGCTGCATTTGGAGTGTTACCACGTTGAGGAAGGTGATCCTTCCTCTCTACTCAACATTGCTGAGGCCACACCTAGAGGACTGTGTCCTATTCTGGGCTTCCCAGGACACATAAGATGGAGACACTGGAAGAGTCCAGCAAAAAGCCACTAAAATGATGAAGGGACTGGAGCATCTCATATGTGAACAAAGGCCAAGGGAGCTGGGACTGTTCAACCTGGAGAAGAAAAGGCTCAGGGGATCTTGCCAAGGTGCACAAGGATCTGAAGGGAAGGTGTAAATACAGAGCCAGGCTCCTCTCAGTGGTGTCCAGGGACAGGACAAGAGCCAACAGGCACATGCTTGAACACGGAAGGTTCCATCTGAACATTAGGAAACACTTTTTTTTTAAACTGAAAACTGTAAAAACTGGAACAGGTTGTCCAGAGAGGTTGGGAAATCTCCATCCTTGGAGATATTAAGAACCATCTGAACATGCTCCTTGGGAAGCAGCTTTAGGTGACCCTGCTGGGCAGGGGAGATGGATTACATATACTCCAGAGGTCTCTTCCAACCTCAGCGTTTCAGTGATTTTGTGATCCTGTAATACAAACCCAGATTTTATACATCAGAAATTCCCTCTGGAAACCTCTCCTCCAGGCTCCTGCATGCAGGAGGGAAATGACTCCCCCACTTCACTACCTCTGTTACCCCCAGGAGTTTCACCCATTACAAAACTTACCTTTGGCTTTCAAACACCTGGAGGGAGGGGAAATAGGCAAAAAAAGTGTTTCCTCACACCAAGTCCTACTTTTCATCCTGATCCCAGCTGATATTATTAGGGCTGGAGACCAGATACACTGGGAGAAACAGTAAGAGCATGTGCCTGGAACCTGGTGAAGTGAGAGTTTTAACACATCTAAGCTATCCTGAATAAAGCCACGAGACACCATCATTATATCAAAACTTGCCAGGAGGGCATGTCAGGTAGATGTGGACAGTAAACATCTGTTTGATTGGTTTTAAGCAAAGTTTAATCAAATCAGGATGAGAGAAAAGTGTGTTACCTTGGCTGGGCATCCACCTACAGTCTGTCTTCCCGCAACAGTATCCCCTTAATTGCAGGCAGGGTTTTGGCAGAGGTGGCCTGGTTGGCCTTATTACTGTTTGAGTTCTTTTTATTGCTACTCCAAAATAAAGACCATTGTTCCTAGAAGACAATCAGGCTCATTTATGGTGTACTGGGACATGAATTTCATGAGGGATTCCAATTTTAGGAGATGTAAAATCACTGTTTGACTAGAATCTAGTTATTAATGAAGATTTCAAGAATTTAGGTTAAACTAAGTCCTAGTTAAGATTTCAGTCAGGGTTAAAAAGCCAGTTTTAAAATGGTCTGTTTGCTTTTTAAATGCATCAGCACACAGGCTTCAGGCTGGTTTAGCAGAAGAGAGGTATAATGCCGCATCTGGGCACATTTTAGGCCTGTAGAGATTTACACATTCTTCAGAACTGCAGGTCCAACAGATGCATTTTAAACTGGCTATAGACTTAGACACTAGGCTAAAATTTAAGTGTTTCACAGTACTTCATCTGGACTGGGTTTAGAACACACTGCTCCCTCCAGAAGCCAGAGGCACACAAGATACTCCAGGAAGGAGTTGGGGTCAGGGATACATGTCTGCTGGCAGACACATGAAGGTGCAGACACTGCTCTCACTCAGTGTCCCCTCTAACATGGCCTGTGACTTCAAGAGGGAGGACTGCAGATGACTGAGCAATCACCACTAGATCAGCAACACTTCAATCAAATGAGGAACATACCTTGGCTGCAATTGCTGTCTTCCAGTTTACAAGAGCTTGCTCTTATCTATTCATTTGACAGAGATTTTCATGTGCTGTTGCATAGCTTCCTTAGGGATTTATAAGGTCATTGAGGCTGTTTAAATCACTTTCCAGGTAGTCAGGCACTTCCTGCAGTTGATTTTTAGTTCTAACACTTCATGACACTTTTGGCTGAGCACCCAAACAGAGCTGGCTTATGCCTGGGTTTAGGATATTTCACAAGCAGATATTCAGTTGACTTCAGCAAATTTAAAATCCAGCTTTTCTTCCTGACCCTTTCTGGCATGGTTAAGGCTCTTTGATACCAGGAGTTAAGATTAGCACAGAGCAGGGTGAGGAAATGCCAGCCTGGGGCTGCATAAGGTCTCAGGAAGAGCTGCCAAGCAAATACAGACATTTTTCAGACACACTGGTGCTGCTCAGCAGAGTGAAGCCTGTTTGCCAGCAACTACTTGCATGTGCTGAAGCAGAGACGTGCAGCACACAAAGCCTGACCATCTCAGGAGCAGGGTAGGGGTTTAAGACAAGACCTTGGCCCTACCATCACTCCCACCCGGCAGGGAAGTACATGGAGGAACAAGGGGATTTGGGATCATGTGCTTTAAGTCAATTAAGCACTTGTAGGCTTGGTTAAAATCCAATTACATGATACTCTGAGAAGCCTGGTGCTATTTAAAGTGGGTTTGCCTTGACATTTCAGTAAGGGCAGTTGGAGAGGGTTGAGCAGAAGCAGCCCCTCTCACATGTCCTCCCTATACCCTGCCCTCTCCCTGAGCCCTGCCTTTGTATCCCCACAAGTAGCCTCCTCACTTCTGCAGCTTCAGAGCCCACTCAAGCCATTCATACTGCAAACTGCTTAGATATAGTTTAGGGTAGGGAGCTAGGTCTCTACTTCAAGAGCTAAAGCTTTTAGAGAGCTTCGTGGTCTCAGATGCATGTTTTGGAGCTGGAGCCACTCATCCCCATCAAGTGTTTCAGCTGGTTTATATTCTGTCCTTATGGCTCCAAATAGATGTGTGCCAGCCAGGTACCCACTGCCCTGCTCATTGTGGGCCAGCTGCTACCAGCCACCAGCTCCCTGCAGGGTGCAAAGGTCTTTGCTTCTCAGAAAGCTCCAAAAAGGCCCAGGTTTCATTTCCAGAGCTATCTGTGGTAGTTTGCAGGGAAATGAGTTTCAGGGGGAAAAAAAGGGTAAAAACTGCGTTGAGAAGCAGCCACAGTGCCTGTGTCCCTGCTGCAAGAACACAGTGCCTGCATTTCATTTGTGAACAAGCTGTGCTCAAGGAGCTCCAAGAAGGCTCTGTTCAAATTAGAAAACTGTTGGGATCCTGCAGAGATGCACAGATTTGTGCAATAGCTTTCCATGGAGGACAGGCTGATGAGCTAGGCTTGCTCTTTCACCAGCTGAGAAATGCCTTCTCCTACAGGCACCTACTTCCATCTCTGCTGTGCACAGAGACAGCCAGAAGTGCCTTTGTTATCTCTCTGCAGCCCAATTTCTAGATGGCCAAGGAAGTCCTGCTGCCATGTGCTGGCACCACAAGGACATGGTTTGTGGCATCAGCCAATGTTTCCTCGGGAGTGTTAGATTGTTAGCCCAATCTACATCATCTGATTAGGTCTGATTTGACTAACAGCAGTTCCCATTAGACATCTGCAAGGTCTTACCTGACTTATTAGCAAGAGTACAGCTGCTGAGATAATGAATGGGACACTCAGCCCAAAGAAGATATACTGCAGGTAGTTCAGGAGGGATGGGATCAGCACCAGGTTGGTGTAAAACTGCTTTAGGACTGTGCCTTCAATGGATCCGCTCTGCCCCAAAAAAAGCAAAGTTGTCAGTGGCATTTCCCTCCCATCCAGAGCTGAGACAGACCAGCTGCACAACTCCTCTCCCACCACCTCCCAGCATAGATGAGGGAATATATGCAAGATTCAGTAAGCCTAGAAGCTCTTACTAAGTAGCTGGAGCCAGCTGGACATGCAGACAGCTGGAGACTGCACTCCCTGGCCCACATTGGCACAGGGCTGCTGGCAGCTCTGTTCTGGGCCCTATTTAACCCCACATCTAGGGCAGAGCCAGAGGTTTACCAAGTATAGTGCAGGGTTTGTTCAGCTCAGGGGGATTAACAACACAGCCGACTATTGCAAAGCCTTCTGATGGTGCTTAATTAGTCTGGCTGGCTTAAAGCTTTATTCAGAGTGGAGTTTCCCCAGCCCTGGGTGATGGGGAAGCAGGATCCCCCCTCCCACAGGAGAGGCTCTGCAGAATCAGGTCAAGGCAGGCAGCTCACCTCTGCAAACCACAGCAGCGGCAGGACCACTGGCTTAATATTCCCTGTTTGTCTGGGAAGGGGGAAAGGGGAGAGGAGGAAAAAAATAGTAAGTACACACTTAGATTTCTGGTTGATCCCACCACAAGCAGCGTCACAATTCTTCCTAAAGGGACAGTTCTGACAGACAGCAACAGGCAGCCACAGGCTGCACTGCTAAGGGATGGCAGTGGAGGTCACTGGAAGAGCTGCCATCTCACCACACGAGGCAGCTGAATTCTGCAGCAGAGACAACTGCTGCTGTTAATGCTGCTTCATCTCTGGGGAGAGGAACTCAGCAGTGACCCCAGCCTCAGCAGAGCTCCCCCACATGAGAAAGGGACATGGCCATTCCTAAAAGGTGACTACTTACATTATGCCAGGCACGTGCTTTATGTACAGATTCAGCTGGAGCTTGATGGAGCAGTTCATGGGGATGCCTGTCATCTGCAAAGGAAGAGACCAACCAACACATCAGCAGCCCTTTGCTTTCCATCACAGCTGCTCTGGGGTGCCACACTCCAGAGTGATGGACTGCATCCTCCAGGGATCCACTGCAGTCATCACACAGAAGACCAGAAGCATGGCTGGGGTTCCCACCAAAGAATCAGCCAACCAGGCATCAGTCCCCAGGCTCTGGAGCTGACTGCTCATTGAAGGACAGCACTGTCCCCATGGCAGTTTGCAGCCTGTCCTCTTCACTTGAACACTCACCAGCCAGTGAGAGTGTTGCACACAGCAGCACTGAGAAGGGAGTATCTCCCCTGAGGTGTCTGAAGGCACAAAACTAACCTGAGCAGAAGTGGCTGCTGCAGAAGAAAGCAGCAGACATTCAGGGGGCAGAGGGCATGAGCCAGGGAAGTGTTGTGTGACTGAACTTTGACAGGCTTAAATGATCAAGGAGCATTAACAGCCTGTAAATGACTCTCCAGGCAGGGTGTTTTCATAGTGACTTCAGTGGGTTTTGGAGCCTGATGAGCCTCTTTTATTGTACATCCTACCAGCAGCAGGATGGAAATGCATCAATGCAAAAGGATTCATGCACATAGCAAAGGACAAACCATTTCTCATCACTAGGAACCAACAGCCACTCTCCAGCAACACCCCAAGACTGTGAATACCCCACACTTCAAAGCTGCTCTTGTTGACATTGGTTTCTCATGACATGGCAGTTTTGCAAGACATGAAGGGCAGAGAGTTTGTGTTGGATTGCCCCTGTTTGTACTCAGCAGGCTGCAGCTAGATAAGAATACAGTCAATTGTACTGTTATCAGTATATGTTTGATACTGTAATAAATTTAATTAGATTTCCATAACTGTGATAAGAAAAGCAGAGCTAACCCCATACCTAGATAAGAAGCACATCTTACATTCCCTCAAGAGAGGCATTGGCTTCTTGCTTGGGGAAACACCAATGAATGTTTGGAAGATCTGACCACAGGCAACACAGGCCACGAGTAGAAGATCCCAAAGTCCCCTCCCCAATGGAGAGAGACAACAATGGCTCAGGACACCCCAACTCATCACCACTGGAGTGGTGACTTCACCCTTAGCTATAGACCAGCACAGAAGAAGCCAGAGAGGCAAGTTGAGAGAGTAGAAGAAGCTAGCCCAAAAACTATGGTGACAGCTTCAGTGTGGTCTTCAGATTTTGCCAGTCACAGCAGTACTTGTTTGAAGGCCTGGGGCATAACTGGGCTGCTGCTAGATACACCTCCTGGTGTTATGGACCTGAGTCAGTAGAAATAACTTGATTGTGCTTATCAAAACAATTATGCTTATAATTAGTTCTGCAATTCTCTAGAAGCCTGGCTAATTATTCAATTAGTTTATAGCACTGACATTTTTATCTGCACATGTCCTTGTCAGTCTTTGCACTATGGAACCTGCTCAAATCAGTACCACGAGAACAGAATGAAGCCACCACGCAGCTGGTGGCAGGTTCTCCCCCTCAGCCCAGGCTGGAGTCCCAGGACAAGACAAGAACCCCCATGGGGTGAGGACCCCCAGGCTCACCCACCGGGTGCACATCGAGGAAGAGTCCGTGCTGGTCCTTGCTGGGGTGGAGGCCTTCAACAGCATCCACCAGAACTGGGTCAGCATTGTAGAAGTGAGGATGGGAAATGAACATTGGTGCATCTGGAAGAGAGCAAAGACACCTTCAGCTCATCCAAACCCACCCAAGACTTTTTGCTGAGGTTTTTAAGCCATTGCAGCACTTGTTTCAAACAGGTTTTTAAACTTGTGTCCTCCCAACCAGAAAGCTCTTGCCTTTCAATCCCTTCAGCTTATTCCATTGCTCTGAGAGAGTGAAAACCCAGGGTTTAAGTCACCATCTCCCCCCACACCACTGTGGCATCTCACTGTACCTAGACATGGAGTAGGACACTAAGCCTGGATTCCCTCCCTGGCATGACCTGCAGTCAGTGTCCAGAGATAACATTTAATTTGGCAGTTACATGACCTGCCTCTTCCCACCCTTTCTCCCCAGCCCAGGGGACATCACATTTCTATCATATCCATGGCCATTCCCACAAACACCAGGCTGCAGGAGGGCCATGGAATGAGGGGACTTCAGGCACAAGGATTTTTCCTCTCTCCCTCCCAGCTGAGATGCCTGCAGAAGCGCAAGAGCACTGTGCATGCAGAGCCCATTTTCCCAACACGTGAGCTTGTATCACCCCTACCATTGACATTGGGATGGCAGAGAGGTGGAAAGGACTTACTCATCCTGCAGCTACTGACGTTCTGGATGCCAGACTGCAGGCAGGGGCAGAAGCCTTCGTTGGGTGGATAGTCTGTGCCATTGGCAAAGAGAGTTTTCGGTGCCACGAAGCGATAGGTGGGCACACCCTTGAACTTCCCGGACTGCTCATACACAAGTGTCATGGATCTGGAAGGGTTTCAGTGGAGAAGGATCAGGATTAGCCAACAGGCTCCCAGCCCAGAACCAAGCTCTTATCTTAGGTGGATAAGATGCAGTTGACATGTAACTTAGACTTTGAGATGAAGATAAACACTCAGAGCAGGGCTTTGGATGGGGAATGAGAGTTTAAGCCACTTGCTTTCCATTATTTTAAGCAGAAATCGAGCTCTGGTCAGGACTAGTTATGGAGAGAAACCACAGGCTTAGAAGTCTGTTTGCCATATCCAGCAGAGATTTGTTTAAAGGCACATAGTAATTCCCAGGGCTGCTCTCCAAGAGATAATACCCCCTTTGTGCAGGCCTTGGCTCAGAGGTAGAAGTGCTCTGTTATAGGGATGGACACCAGCTAAACCTCTTTTGCAGGACAACTCCAGCATACAGGCTGTCCAGGGGAGTGGAAAATTTTACCTTATGAACTACATTATGCAGCAAGATTCTTTGTGATATAACAGGCTAGTCATGTTCTGCTGCATTATTGCTACCAGCCAGCCAGGGGGGGACAAAAGTTTCCAGGAGGGAAGTTTGCTTCCTTCACACATGCTCCTTTAAGTGAGGCTTGCAGGGATGCAGACAGCCTGGGCAAGCCTGGGGGGATGCTTATTTGTTCCAGCTGCCCTCTGACACCAGGACAAAGGATGAGGAATTCAGGGGATGTTCAGCAGATGTACATGCCTCTTGGCTGTGCTCACCTTCCAGCAAGAAGGCAGAGGCTGCTGCAGCACATCAACAGGTTAAAGTCTTGCCTACCCTGAGGGGACATCCTGAGAGTGACATCTCAGCATCAGCTGTGCTTAATGTGCAAACAAAGGAGATGATCCTTCCCATGCCCTGCCCTGCCCACAGCTGCCTGCCCTGCAGCAAGGCAGATATGCTCCTACTCAACTGATTTTTGTGAGTCCTTTCTAACCAGCTGTGCTAACAGTAGCCAAGATAGAAACCTGGGGAGTACAGACAGTGAGAAAACCAAGCCACTTTCTCCACAGCACCACCTGTGCTAACAAGAAACCAGGCTTAGTTTTTTCCAGTTCACTTTGTGTCTTGCCTGGAAACATGCTCAGATCCCTAGAAGATCTCTGTAGCCTTACAAAAACAGGCATGGGCATTTCAGCTTTGCTTACCAAAAAAACTTCCGTATATGTCCTTGGCTCCACATCATTTTGGTATTTGCTGATGTCCCTGTGTAGAGGAATTCCTGCACTAACACTTGGTTCAGCTGACTTTGCTTGTTCCATGGAAGAGGTCATTGTTCTCTATTCAACATGAGCACTTGCTTGTTTTGCAGCACTATCTACAAAGTCTGAATTAACATTATCTTACCTAAGCTGAGGACAAGGTTTTGTTTCACCAGCTGCCTCCGGCCTCCCCTCCTTCCAGCCTCAGGGAGTTTCCACGCAGGCAGGCTCTGCTGGGTACTTTAACCCCTGTGTGATCACCTAAGGTCAGGGTGTCTTACACAAGGACACACAAAGAAACCCCAGCAGCCTGGAAATGGTAGCACAAGGTCCTCTTTTTCCTACCCCCATCACATCTCCAAGCATCTAGTCAGCTGACACAGTTCCCCAAATGGTTAGAGGTGGATTTCCTGACCACAACTCTTACTTCTCCCTCTTGCCTCCCACATCTTATCTAGCTGCTTATTTTCTACTGATTCAACATGGGCAACTTAGATTTCTCCAGTGATCTGGAAGGTATTTATGAATGCCACAAGCCATTGCTAGTAAGACAACTACACTGTTTGCCAAGCTCAGACACTGCCACGCTGCACTGCAGCTGAACTTTATCTCCAGAAACAAAGCCCAAGCCCTCCGTGTCACTGCACAGGTGCTCTGAGTGCATGAGACTGCTCCTGTCACCCACACAGGGACAAGCTGGCAGCTCTGGCCTCACCTGCAGGCATCAGGGCTGTAGAACTCCAGTGATGTTGGGGGCATGAATGGTGGCCACATCTCCCCTGAGGTTCCGTTGATCATGTTGCACTCATTGCTCCGCCAGTACTTCGTCTGTGGGGCAGGTGGAGAGAAGGGCTCAGAACAAGAAGTTTGCTGGACAGTTGGCTCCTGCCTCTGCATGGGACATCCACCACTCTACACTGCTTGGAACAGCAACACTGAAGAGCTTCCAAGATCTTTTCCCATTCAAATATCTGCCCAATAAATGGAAAACCAGGACAAGATCCCACTGTCCCAAGTGCGGCTGATCTGTAGATTCAGTTGATTTTAGTCAAGAATGGAATTCCATAGGGGAAGAATAAGCACCCCTTTAAGAAGAACATTTAAATACCACCTCAAACACAGGCCACAGTCAACCATTAGGAGCAACCAGATTCATCAGCATTTTAAGGGAGGCCAAGAGATAATGATGATGACCTGAACTTAATGCTTCATGACAAGCCTCTTGTCATAGGGCTGCCCTCTGACAATTGGAAGCAGAAGCTGCAGCAGTTCAAGTCCCATAGAAACCTGCCCTCAAACCTACAACCCAGAGACACAACAGCACTGAGAGCTCTGTTGACCTCACTTTAGGTCAGGCATTGCCCCATATTAGAGGTTTGCTGCCTGACACTTACCTTCTTTAGTCCATTCCATGACTCCACCATGTGAACTCTACTGATGTCCTTCATGCCTGTGTTCACTGTGAACAGTCCTGAATGGGAGTTGTTCATCTGCAGAGATAACAAACTTAACATTTAATCCATTATATGCAGCAAGGCTGCCACGTGTTACTGACTTTGCACACTTCATCAGGTCTAGAGGTGCCTCACACTGGAAGCTACCAAACTCATTGATTTCAATTGCCAGCAACAGCTTCCAAAACAAGCATTTCTGCCTAAGGGGGGAAGGAAGGCAACCTTAACAGTTTGTAAGGGAGACAGCCCAGACACTCAATCCCAAGACCAATATTGCTGTGATTTTAGTCCTCCCAAGCAACAGTTTACTTACCTGTAGAAATAAACCAAATTTTCCCTCGAAAGGGATGAGGCCAGGAACAAGACTATTTATTCTGTCTATAAGAGGGTCATCATAGCCCCACATGATCTCCCCCACCGTCCGGTTCATGAATGCCTCCTGTTTCAGGCCAGCCAGGGCTGCACTCACTACAAGCTTCATGAAGTTTGGCAGGTTTTCCATCATTACAGCTGCTCCCTGGGAAAGGAAACAAAACTCTGAGGTGAGAGCCCCATCGTTACAAAAGAGGAAGCAAAGCATTTTCATTGCTTAGCAAAGTCCTTCTGCTGCACTATCTACAGCCCTAGATAAATCTTTCAAGCAAACTGAGGTTCACCACTTATCCCCAGTTTGGGAAGAAAGCAGTTAAGGGCTGAAGGGCTAAATTTGCTCAGAGGACACTCAGACCAGGTTGCAGTCTTGAGCCAAGCTGCTTTGTCAGCCCTTCCACACACTCTGCTTTTGGGAGGGTAACAACCCAACATGACAACCAACACCCAGAAAACAGAAACCCTCATTTTATAAGCCTGACCATGTCAAGGCTTGACTAGCCTTAAGCCCTAGAAGAAAGCAAGCTTTGAGTCAGCACCAACCAGCATCGCCCTCCCCACAAGCTCTGAAGTTGGTACCCACTGAGGGAGCAAGTTCTTACCATCATCAAAATGTTTGGCACAACAATGTACTCTTCTTCACTGCCGTTGGACAAGTGTGGCTGGAAGAAGAGTCTCCGGTACTCCAGGAAGGAGACGGTGTCATTGTCATGGAACGTGATATTTGTTTTATACCTGTACTCTCTGCAAAGACATGGGAGAGACCACGAAAAGGTTCCCACACTCAGTGCTCCTCAACACCTGTGGAGCAAGGACAGGGTGCACAAGCCTCTGCTTGCTTCTGAGGAGCATAGAAAGGAGATCAAGCCCCAGCAAGAAGCCATGGGACAGCAGGGGAGGCAGCATGGTGGGAAACAAGTCAGTGCCACCTCACAGCCTGACCAGGGTTAGGGTCTAGCAGGAGACAATGGCAGTGTGGGAGTGAGGCCTGCCTGACAGATGAGATTCTGCTGCAACTTGCAGACACCAAGAGGTCCTTCCTAGCTGATGAAAAGTCTGAGGCAAAACAATAAGTCACTTCTAGCACTTCGCCTACAGATGCTGAAAAGCCCAGCCCTATCAGAGAGATGCCCAGATAAGCAGACCTGCACCAACCCACACACCAAAACAACCTGCAAAACAGAAGAGGATCAAGAAAGCCCCACCAATGAGGCCACATTGATTTGATCCAGAGCTTCTTGATGGCTCCAAGATTCAGGGCAGCTCAATTCTTGGTGCAGCATCATGGCTTTCCTGCTTTTCAGGCTTTGGGCCATGCCATCTCCTGCACACTGCCCAGCACCACTGGGCTCTATGCCATGGGGGTGGCAGAGCCTCAGGGGGCTGCAATACTCCCCAGTAGCACAAGATTGTCCCAAACATCATGAGCCTGTTCCAGCTCCAGAGGGAGCTGAAGCTCAACCCACCAGCAAAAACAAAGTCCTTTATTGTAGAGCCTCTGTTTTACAGCCCACATTAGGGAAGGACACTAATCTTGCTCAGCACACTAATAAGCTTTGCCCCTTTGTTTATTCTTATTTATGGTTAGTGAAGCCTTTTCAGCAAGCCAAGGGACTGATGGGGTCACAACATACAGAACCCACATGGTCTGGTGTGACCCAGCCAGCCCAGGGAAAACAAGGGCATATCCATACTGCCAGGTTTCCTCCCAACACTACTCAAACAGCTTTGGATTAAACCAGTAATCTTCCCACATGAGCTTGCTTAGGCTGCTGACCTAAGTTTGCCTACATGTGTAGACACCAATGTGTTGAATATTGTTACTCATGGGCAAGTTCACACACTCAACATCAGCCATTACTTCACGTTTCAGGTCCAGAAAAGTATGTGGGGCTTCAGCACCATCCTCAGCCACGGCAAACAGACCCAGCCTTGCTGTAGGTGGGCCTGAGCAAGTTTCAGTGCTCCTACCAGTTTTCATAGCCAAAGCATTCCCATTAGGCAGATCTGGGTCTCATGTTAGGTAAGAGGTCTTAAGCCAATCCATGAAGTTTGATATCAAGGTGACTCCAGCTCTGGAGCTGGACTCTTAAACACACAGTGAAGATGAAACAAGTCAACTCTGAAGAAGAGGATTGCCCACCACCCCCCCCCATGCCTATGTTTGTACTGTATCAGCCCAGGTGTGGCTGCCCAACAAGTCCCAGCACAGGACTGAGCTCCACAGCTCTGTGAAGCACAGACCACCCTTACCACCCCAGGAACCAGAGATCCTGCTTGTGGCTGCAGCAAGATCACATCAATAACAGCACATTTGGGTCACCTTAAAATCCCCCCCCACTAGACTCACACCAGTATGCTACTGCCATGTCCTCCTGCCAGAGGAGTCAGCCAGAAGCCTGGCAGGCAGCAGGGTGGTCAGGCTCACACCTAGCTGGAACACAAGTGGTACCTGACCTGTAAACGTAGGGTCCGCGCTGGTTCAGTGCTGGCTTTGCTCCACGGAGAACCTCCTTGGGGTTCAGCACTTCAAAGAAGTACACAGACATGTAGAAAGGAACAGGAATGTCTTTCCACATGCTGAAGGAGATGCTGCTGGGGTCGATCCTGACATTCTGCAGGGAAAAAAAAAAAAAAAAAAAAA